GTAATTCAAGTAAAGCACGATCTATTTTATTTATGAATAATATTGGTTTAATACGTTCATTAATAGCTTGACGAAGAACAGGTTCAGTTTGTATAGAGACACCTATATACATTATAAAGAAATCATTTTTTGTTTTCAAATTATTATAGTAAACCTGAAATACAATCAATAACGACAAGAGCACCATCAGTGACACGCAAAGCAGCAGTAACTTCTGATGAAAATTCAACATGACCTGGTGAATCAATAAGATTAATTAAAAACTGAGCTGTGTCTGGTTCATGTTTTTGTTTAATAAATTCTAAATCTTTAGTAGGTAATTCATAACAAAATGAAATAATTCTAAAAAACCAAAAATATATAATATTAAACAAAAAATAAACTAATCATACGTTGATTTGGTTGTAATATTTCGTTTGTATTCATCTTTTCGTATATCAGTACAAAGTAAATCTGTTAATGTCGATTTTCCATGATTAACAGGTCTAATAACAGATATATTTCGAATATTGTCCTTTTTATCCATCAAAGCACGAATTTCATCAATATTATAACCCACCATAGTTGAATTACTTTCTTTTTAAATATCCAAAAGGAGATTTCTGAAGAACACAAACAAACAAATGATTTAAAAACAAAGAGACGCTAAGACAACACGAGTAACTTGTTACTAGAGATCAAGGTTTTCACCGGCATCTTAAGCATGCAGTAAAGTGTCACATGTTATATAAGATATTGCAGACACATTACGAAATATATTTACTTAGAATGACAGGAAAGAGTAAAATTTTGATTAAGAGGAGTGTACAACCAACGAATCAGACAGCGAGTTAGATGTCACGATTTATTCATTTAAATTTGATTTTTATTAGGTGAATGTGAGTGATTATATATAATTCATAGAAAAAACAATACATGAGACTGAGAGCGAGCAAGCGATCTAAATCCTTGCTCTCTATATTATTTTATTATATATGAAGACAAAAAAATTGCCGTGATGGCATCACACCGAAACAAATGGCACGCATGGAAATACAGCTAAAGTTTTCAAAATGTAAGATACATAATCGATGGTTGGAACATTAATTTTTCAGAAATCGGATACCAAAATAGGCAATTATGCGACATCCAATAATAAAACAGAGTAATATGCTGATACATCCGCCGATACTAATATAATCCAAACCAAGATTTCGAATAGTAGTTTCTCCATCGGATATGCAGTTACCTGAAGCAGTTTGATTGACAGTACATGATAGTTTAAGACCTTGCAATTCATTTAAACTAAGACCTACATAAACATATTTAATGTAAGCAAGTGCATCAATCCAAACTAAATATTTCGGTAAATAAGCTGGTGCTAAGAAAAAGCCACCAAACAGACGTGTAACTTCTAGTGCCATAGGTAGAACAGTAACACTCATATCCGTTGTTTTACATAGAGCAGAAATCATTAGAGCTAAAGACGTGGCAGTAAACGAACAGAGAGTGATAAGCAATGTAAAAATAAAAAATTTGCTAGCCACTAATTGAAATCCCACCATAAAATAAACAATACATGACTGAAAAAAGAAAAAAAGCAAATGAAATTATCTAATGGATGAATTTTACTTACAAAAATGACTGGTACTGGAATTTGAACAAATGTATCAACCAGAATTTTCGCCATAAAATACGCACTAGCATAATATGTCCCTGCTGCCCGTTCACGTAGTGATAATTCTCTTTCGGAAGGAAATGAATTAATAACCATCAAGGCTCCAAAAACACCTTGATTAATAGCACAGAAAAATAATACAGGACTTCGACGAATAGTACTTGATTGTGTCGTTCCAATTTGAAAGAAAACACCACCAATTAAAATAGCCATGATGATTGTTTGTAAGATCGACGTGATCAGAATTTGAGATGAACGAATTTGTTCTTGAGTATTTCTCTGAAAAAGAATATAGACTTGCTTAATCCAAATAGGATGTTTAGGTAAATTAGCCATTTGATCGAAACGTTTATCCGCACCCATCTTCAGATCAATTTGTAATGGTTTTTGTGCAGCTAAGATTGATGCATCCACAGCTGCTTGTTCTTCTAATGAATTTGTTCGATCGTCTATAGTTTTCGAAGGTGTAATAACATCTAATAAATGATCGGCTGGATTGGTATATAACGGACATGAATAACCAGCTTTATCAAATACATCCTTTGAAGGAGAAAAAAGTCTTGAGGATTATTCACAATATCGATTCTCTTACCATCACACGTTTTCGAGATCCTAGAAAAAGTATATTTCCAGCTTTGAGTAAAATCAATGAATCAAATAAATGAAATATCTTCGATTGTGGCTGATGAATAGAACAAACAATCGTGACAGCTTTTTCTGTCGATCTACCATGTGCTAATAAATGAAATGTTTTTAATAGATCTAATGCTGTAACAGAATCAAGTCCTGATGTTGGTTCATCGAGAAAAAGTAATTGTGGTCGACTCAGTAATTGCATACCTACACATAAACGTTTTCGTTCACCACCAGAAATACCTTTTTGAAATGTTGTTCCAATAATAACATCTTTAGCATGTTCAATACCCATATCTGCCAACACATCCTTTACACGTTTGTTTCGTTCTTCTTTTGTAAATGTTCGAGGTAAACGAAGTTCAGCTGTATACATTAATGTTTCATAGACTGTTAAATGTCCATTGAGTAAATCATCTTGCATTACATAGCCAGCCATACGTTTTAATTCAGCATTATTATAAGGAGCACCATTGAGAGACATTTCACCATGAACAATTGTATTTATATCTAAACGACATGCTAATGTATTCAATAAAGTTGATTTTCCTGAACCCGATGGACCTTAAATAAATAAAATAAAAAATATATTCAACAATTCATATAAAATAAAGATTTACCCATGACAGCCCATAGTCCACCTGTAATTGCGCCACTAATATTATTCAATAAACATTGTCGTTTAGGTGTAAATTTTTTCCAAAATTTAAGACGTTGAAGATATTCTTTTGCTTTATCTTCACGAGTTAAGACAGTTAAATTTTTCCAAACAAGTATTGTACTAACACGATCAGAAAGTGGATCGAGTATCGATAATTGCCGCTCGAATGATTCAGTTCTTGTCAAGCCATGAGATGATTGATTATCATTTTTATCTGCAAGATCAGATGTTCGTACAGTAACAGCAGTAAAACTCTTCGTACTACTCATATAACCACTGTTCTCCATGAGTTTTTAATCAATTCACGAGTTTGTTTTATCTACAAAAAAAATAATGATTGACGTGTTCAAATAACTTTATAGAAATTGTATAACGATTAACGTCTCCTAGTATTATTTTATGTTTCATACATTATATCGTTCGTTATGTTATATGGGACACATTTTAATGTATGGCATGACCTCATACACAACAGAAGAAGAGGTCAGTCTGAGAAAAGAAAGAATATTAAAAGAAAAAAAAAGAAATAATTGAAACTATTGAGGTATATAAATGCACTCGGTTGTCACGATACTAGTGTACATATGTGAGAGTTCAAGAATAAAAAGAAACTAAGTGCAAAGAGAATGAACAAAAAAATGACTGAATGAAACTTTTAAAAAGAATCACGTTCAATTCTTAGATTACGGTTCGTATAGGAAGGATGGTATGAGGTGAAAAGAGCATGCCTTCATTATTCTAGAATTAGACAAACACATTGATTTTCACTCATTATTCCCAGACTACGTACTAAAAGTTAAACTGTCTCCGTGAGAAATAATGTTTATGAAGTTGTTACAAAGTTTGTGATAATATCATCAGGAGTAGAATATGGATTCGAACATCAATAGTCTTTTATAACAAATAATAAATGAAATTCTTTTTATACGATAAATTGCTAGATCATTCAATTAACGCGTAAAACGAACGTTTTCGAGATTTTTTAAATCATAAAATTCAAAGAAGTAATTTTCTGGTGTTTCAATTACTACCTACACGTTCGTTGCGTATAGATATATATTTTATTGTAAATTTCAATTAGAGTTTCATAACCATTTGTATTCGATTAACTTATTGAATCTAGTCATTGTGGACATCGCTTTCATTCTCTCAATAATTTATGCATCTCGGCTTCATATGTTTTTTTCGATCACAAATATCAAAATGCGATGATGATTCACATAAACGTTTTCGTCACCAAACTAATTTTATCCATAATGACGTTAAAATAAATGTAGTTAATCGATGTGCGCAATATTCTTTTCATTATGTTTTCCACTATTTATATCTCCAATGCTTGAGTCATTAGAAAAGAAATGCGTATATGTATATACGTATTATTATTTATTTATAATATTCGTTAGAAGTTTCGTCAAACATTTATTTTATCACGACCGAAACGTAGAAATATAAAATTATTCTTTATTATCGGTTATTTTCTCCTTGTGTTCACAATTAAGTAAGGTGTCAATGCTAGGACTACTACATATCCAGCACCATCATCTTCATCAACTATGGGACCTTGTTTTGCTACGTGCACATACGATACTGATTGTTCAGTGGGAAAACAGTGTTGTAGTAACTGTCCTGGAACATGTCAAAATGCTACACTGGCATAAACAATATCAACCATATACACTGAACGTTATGAATGATCTATTCTAAATATTCTTTTTCATTTCATTTTTTTTGTCTTATTGCTCTATATTTGCTATCACTACTATACTAATAAATTTTACTATAATCATGCATTATTCTACAACATTTCTATAATTTAAGGGTGTGGGTATTATCCCCATTCGCCATCAATACGCACACCCGCACCCACATTCTCAATCTAAAACCATTCCATAGAAATATATGAAACTTTCGAGGTTTCGTGAAAGACCTATTTTTTTAGAATGTATATGTATTTTGTGTTAAAATTCAAAAGAGTGTTTATGATATTAGTAAATCGAAAAAGAAAAATCAAATAAACTACTGGTATATGTTCGTATTAATTTTTGCCGTTTTAAAAATGATACTTTGGTGCTTCCTTTTCTACCATTTTCCACAAATCTTCTAATGCCTGAATAACGTCCGCATTGAGTGTAACTCCACGTGAATCACGAAGATTTTCATGAAGTTGTTCAAGGCTGGATGCTCCCAAAATAATAACATCTCCTTCCTTCAATAATGAATGATTTAATAACCATGAGTAGCAAGCTTCTGATGGTTTAATATTAAGTTTCTTGCAACGATCTTGGAAAACTTCTAGTGCTGAGAAAAGGGTCTCGTTGCAATAAAGACTTGCATAGTACTGGCCAGCCATAGTCGAAGTGTCAAATCGACCATTAGCTTGACTATTTTTGATTTGATCTGGTGTTTTAACCAAGAAACCTCCAGCAATTGGTGAATAAGCATAAAAATGTATTCCTAATTTTCTTAATAGTGGAAATAATTCCTGTTCATTTTTTCGTGTAATCGGATTATAGTTTCCTTGATATACCGATGGAAGAACATAGTTCTTTTCTTTGCAGATATCGTACATTTGTTGAACTTCTTCTGCCGTAAAATTAGAAAGACCAAATCTTTTGAAACTTCCTCGTTGATAAAGATCATTAATCGCTTGAGCTGTTTCTTCGAAAGGAGTTTCTCGATCTGGTGCGTGAATATAAAAGATATCAACAGAGGATCGTTTCATTGCCTTCAAACTGTCATCACACTGTTTAGTGATATTTTCTTTTGTTAATTTGCTTAGCATAGGATTTGCTTTGGTGGAAACTGTAAATGCTTGGAATTCTGATGTTTCACCAAGTAATTCTTCGGTGGTTCCTTCTCCATATACTCTTGCCGTATCGAGTTCATCGATTCCATTTTCTTTAAGAATATTAAGAACTTGAGACACTTGTTCAGGTGTGTTTAATCTTTCTCCTTTTTTGTTGAACGTTGCGGCACCGAATGTTCTCTTGACTTTAGACATTGTTCGACACAGACGTTAAAGATGATGCGTTAAATTGTTATCTGAAAGGATATAAGAATCAGAAAGATGAGACTAAAGGATGACCATATCTCTCTTTGATGGAGGCGCAAGCATATGTTGCTGTGATAAATGGATCAGAACATTTACCATTTATAGTCAAAATCGAATTAGGCAGCTACACATTATTGCGACGATTTCTGATGAAAGAGGTGTATGCGCTGATGGTACTACGCCATTATTTATTTTTTTCTCTCAAGAGTCGCATCGTTCTGATCCTCAACACACGCTTATATACTCGTCCATCAAAAAAAGAATGAAAGGAAAGGTAATGTTAAGAGTACACCATGAGGAGAACCGCAAGTACAAATAGCATACATACAGCGCATGCAAGTGGGTGCGTCACAATTATAACATCCTAACTATTACGACTCGAAACAGTATTGTAATTTTTGAAAAACTCCGTTTGTAATGCGATCTGGTTTGAAATTGTCTCGGTGTCGATATGGACGATTTGAAGGCTGAAAAATCGGATATATTAATACTTAAGTGTGATTTAAACAACCTTGTTAGAAATAATTTTATACTTTACTATGAATTATATTAGTCTTGAAAACTTTTGTCTATTCTCAATCAATAAAGTATCGATCGTTTATAAGGAGAAAAATTTGCACTGTCATATAACAGAGAGAAATAATTTGCACTGTCATATGACGATGAAGTAACCATACACCTATATAATTATGAGTGCTCCTTCTTACTCTCAACGATAATGAAAGATGGCGTATTGCGTCGGTGCATTCTTAATCATTTTATTTATTTTCATCAGGAATAAAACAAAATTTGATATTTGTTCAATCAATATTTTTTTATCAGATATTTCTCAGCTACAGTTTTAATTGTATGAAAATTCATAATTTAGAGAAGACATCTGCCTATAAATATTAACATTTCTTCATGAATAAAATCTTTCAATGTTGTCAAAAAATTTAAAAAAGTTCTGCTGAAGATGATGGGACTTTCATGTTGCAAAGCGCTCTCGTTCAAAAAGACAAAATTTATACTGAAGATAAACTCATTCAATAAATTGAGCACCGATCATATCACTTGTTTTAAGGTCTTATTTATCGAAAACAATATTCGAATCGACCTCAGCGATTCAGGTACCGCTTTCACATCCCAGTGCAAGAGATAGCGAAGACTTGGCTTGGATATCTAAGGGTATGGATGAGGTGGGTGTGACATGGATGTAGATGTGCGTATCGACTCTTTCTATTCATATCCACGCCCACACCGAAACCAAGATGAAATAAAAATACTTGAAAAGTAGAATAGTCACTCTTAACATGCTCCTTAGATTTATAATTAAACGTTAGTTATTTAACAAATATACAATGATTTTAATTCACATGAATGGGTGGCTGTGATTCATCAACTCATCCACATTCATAGCTACGCTTTTATGTCTACAGAACAGTAAATCGTGGTTATTACTTATGTATATTATATTACTCATTGATAACATAGCGATACTTCTGTCTTTTTTTCTCTCCTTTCCTTTCTTCCTACCTTTTTACTCTCACAAACGAAATGATGAATATAACAAAATAGAAGTTTGAAAATCAAGAACAATACTTTTACGACATCATGTTTTCGTCAAATGTTGGAAATTTCCAACTACATAAAAATAACTTTCAATAAACATTGTATTCATTGAAAAAAAAAGCAAGCTTAAATGGATCGATGGAATAACAAACAAAACCGTAAAACCAACTCAAAGAACTGTTGCTTCAGTCCATTGTCATGTGTTGGTACAAAAATCTCTCTGATAGATCGCAAAGAAAACTCTCTACCACCTGCAGTATCTTATATTACTACTGGTGGATATAATATTACTTTGCCAATGTCAAAATTATATAAGTTAGATGTTTGGGGCCCATATCTTGTGGGTTATCCTGGCGATGATCGTCCTCGACGCATAAACAAAGAAAATATCACATTGATTTGGTTTGATTCAAATATGTCGCAAGATCAAGATGATTTATTGGAACATCTTCGTGCAATTAATGATTTTTCACTTATCTATACCGATGTTGATACTTGTATTAATTGTTTAAAATCAATCGATACAGAAAAAATAATATACGTAACAACAAATCTTGATTCAATACAAATTCTTTCATTTGCCAATAGTTTAACTCAGTTAGATTCAATTTTTATATACGATAACGAGAATACTCCTATTGAAAATTCGTTATCCAATCATCCAAAATTTGCAGGTAGATTTTCTACATGGGAAATGCTGGAAATAAATTTAAAAAAAACGATTGCATGCCTTTTAAGACATATTGAACTATTTACATTTTACGATCGACATCAAATCGCAACACATAATGTAACAAAGATGAAAGTCGAATTTTTCTGGTAAGATTTTCTAATTAGAAAAAATCTGCAAAAGTTATATATTGAAGATTTATACTCTTATCAGATAATCTATTTTTTTCTTTTTAAAGGACACAACTTTTTAACGATATGATTCATCGATTGCCTCACGATCAAAAAGCAAAAGAACAAATGATTAATGCTTGTCGAGATTATTATCGTGGTAATAAAACTGTTTTAAGTAAAATTGATGAATTTGCAAACACATATAATGTTAAAGATTGTATTCGATGGTACACAAAAGATACATTTGTTTATAAACTTATTAATAAGGCATTAAGAACAGAAGATATGGAACAACTTTATACATTTCGATATTTTATTACTGATCTATCAAAAAGTTTAAATCAAGAATTTGGTAAACTTCGAAACAACACATCATCATTGATTCTCTATCGAGGAGCAACTATGTCTTGTGATGAATTTAATATTCTTAAGACTAATGTGGGATTCGTCATATCAACGAATAGTTATTTTTCTACTAGTCGGTTACAGGAAATCGCTGAAATCTATGTTGGTTCTAATGATTCAACTTCCGTTGGTGTTCTCTTCGAAGTAGAATGTGATTTAACGAAAAACATTATTATTGCCGATGTAGCAGATCTTAGTGAGATACCTGACGAAGCTGAGTGCCTTTTTAATCTTGGAACAACTTTCAAAATTGTTTCTATTGAAGAAAAAAATCAATACTCCTTGGTTAAGATGAAAGCGACCGATGAACAACGAACTGTGGTTAATGATTTTATACAACAATCACGCGAAGAAATAGAAGATGAAAGTCTACCAATTGTGTTTGGTATTCTTTTAAATAAAATGGGTTTATATGATAAATGTATTCGTTATTTTAAAAATTTACTTCAAGATTCTGATGAAAGAAATATTTCACGAGTTCACTTTCATATAGCAGATGCATATGATAATAATGATGAATACGATATGGCTCTTAAACATTTACAAATTGCTTACAAACTTGTAAACAATAGAAGAGACAAAGCTGGGCAGAAAGAACAAATTTACATATGGCTTTATACAAGTATTGTACTAAATCATATGGAAATATTTGATAAATCACTTAAATACAGTAAAAAAGCGTTGATAGGTTTTCAACGAATCCATGGACGAATTAATCATCGAGATATTGCTAGTTGTTTATTTTGCATGGGACAAAGTTATTTTGGTTTATCAAGTTTTGGTTGTAATAAAACCCGATCGGCACAAGATTTTCTTATTAAAAGTTTTGAATATCAACAACAAGTATTAGCTATGCAACAAGCTTGTCTACCGTCAGATCATGCAGATATCGCTATTACGTTAGGTGAATTGAGTAATTTATTCTACCATCTTCATGATCAACAGACATCTTTAGAGTACAATAAAAAATCTTTAGATATACAAAAGCAACATTTACCGAGTGATCATTTGTCATTGGCAACTTCGTTGCGTAATATGGCAACTAGTTACTATGAACAGGATGATCTTGATACTGCCCTTGATTATTTTCAACAATGTTTAATAATTCAACGTAAGCGATTACCTCCAATGCATATGGAAATTGCGAGGACTGAACGAAATATTGCTAAAATACTTGGTGACAAGGGTGAAGTAGAAGAAGCAATGGAACATCTACGTGAAGGTTTACCTTTTTCTCAAGATTTATTTAATAGAGAAAAAATAAACTTTTTATATAGAACTTCTAAAAAAAACAACTAAATATGATTAATAAATTGATATTCTGTCTTGTTATCAAGATCAGTGAAAAACTGATCAATTTCATCTTGACAGTGAGTGCCCATGAAGGGTATGGGTGCGAACTAAATGCAATACACACATCTACATCGATAGGTGATCATAATTAGTTATTCAATAAAATTCTAATGATTAAAATTCTTTAGAAGTATATCCTGTCTCAAATGTTTTTTTTATTGTTGTTTAATCAAAATAGTCCAAAAATCAGTAGATGATATGTCGAATAGGGATGACAATGTGGGATTTTAATCAAAATCGCACCCTATAAGAAAAATCCTAAATCAGTCACTGTGTTTAGATATATACCTCTAGATATTTCAAACTAACAGATAATATTTCTAAGACCAATTTTATTCGCTAGTATTTTTAACGTTGTTCGAAATAGCCATTATATCACTTTTTCATTTTCTAGATAATGTAACAAAGTTTTGATGATTTGTTATCCAGTTGTTCGAAAATAAATTCAATCAAATTTTTATACTAGTAACATATATTTATATTTTCATAATCACGTAATGGATTAGCTTACCCTCTCTAATAATACCCAATATTTACAAAACCATCGTTTTTTTTACTTTGTCATATAGCACGCATGCGTTCACCTTTTTTTTCTTTCTTTTCTGTGGAGTACGAATGCGTTCACCTTTCTTTCTTTCCTGCGAAGTACGAATGCGTTCACCTTTTTTTTCCTTTCATTCCTGCACGTTACGCATGCGTTCACCTTTCTTTCTTTCTTTTCTGTGTAGTACGAATGCGTTCACCTTTTTTTTTTTATTTTGCCACATGTTCTATACGAGTATATATACTACGAAGATTTGACAACTGATCTTCATTATATTCTGTGCATAAAATTATTTATTTGCATTTGTGAAAATCAACATGTGCAACCGATTGTCTAACCATTCGTTAATGCCTGAACGTCGATTAGGTAAAAATGGTCCAAAAGTATCAGCTATGGGTTATGGAGCTATGGGTTTATCAACAGCATATGGAGCTCATGCATCAGATGAAGAACGATTTCAAGTACTTGATCGTGCAATTGAACTTGGATGTACTTTTTTTGATAGTGCTGATATATATGGAGATAATGAAGATCTTTTAGGAAAATACTTCAAAAAATATCCTGAACAACGGAAAAAGGTTAGTAAAATGTTTTCATAGATTAGGCAAATTCGAATGATATTTTCTAATATCTAGGTTTTTCTTGCAACTAAATTTGCTAATGTTATTTCTGCTGATTGGAAAAGTTTTTCTATTCGTGGTGATGCAGAATATGTTCGTCAAGCAAGTGAAAAAAGTTTAAAACGTCTTGGTCTTGATTATATTGATCTTTATTATGCACATCGTATTGATAAAAGTGTTCCGATTGAAGAAACAGTTGGTGCAATGAAAGAACTTGTTGATGCTGGCAAAGTTAAATATCTTGGTTTATCTGAATGTTCAAGTGATACACTTCGTCGAGCATGTGCTGTTCATCCAATTGCATGTGTACAAATTGAATATTCACCATTTAGTTTAGATATTGAAAGAGATGAAATTGGTTTATTGAAAACATGTCGAGAACTTGGTGTAGCTATTGTTTGTTATTCACCATTGGGTCGAGGTATACTCGGTGGACAAATTAAAAGTCCAGATGATTTTGAAGCAGATGATTTTCGAAGAATGTTACCACGTTTTTCTAAAGAAAACTTTCCAAAAAATCTTGAACTAGTTAATCAATTAACAGCACTGGCTAAACAAAAAGGTTGTACTACCGGTCAATTAACATTAGCATGGATACTTGCTCAAGGTGATGATTTTATTCCAATTCCTGGTACATCAAAAATAAAAAACTTGGAAGAAAATGCAGGAGCAACTGAAATTAAATTAAATAAAAAAGAAATACAAGAAATTCGTGATGCTTGTGAAAAAGCTGATGTACAAGGTGAACGTTATCCTCCAATGTTTACTGCTCTTGCTTCTGGCGATTCCGCTCCAAAGAAGAACTAAACAGACGACTACGCTTACTATTGTAATAATTATATTTTAACAGTTCTTGTTCTTTATATAACATTCAAATAAATTGTAGATTTTCACATTATATCTAATAAAAAATTTAACGAAAATATGAATTAAATTGTTATTTTGTTTAAAACAATTACATGAACTCATTTAGTTATTATTGCGGATTTATAAGTTATGTAGAATATTTTATATATTCATACTGAAAGTAACATTAATCTTACAAAGCATACGAGTTTGAGGATGTGGGTGTGGCTATTGTTTCCATTCACCATCACTACACCCACAGCCTCAGTCTAAAATCATTCCATAGAAATATATGAAACTTTTAGGGTTTCGTGAGCAACCCTATTTTTTAAAGCGTAGATATTTTGTATTAAAATTGTGAAGTGTGTTTATTATATTAGTAAATCAAAAAAAAATCAAATAAACTACTGTTATACGTCTGTCTTGTTTTTTTAACGTTTTAGAAATGATACTTTGGTGCGTCTTTTTCTGCCATTTTCCACAAATCTTCTAATGCCTGAATAACGTCCGCATTGAGTGCTACTCCGCGTGAATCACGAAGATTCTCATGAAGTTGTTCAAGATTAGATGCTCCCAAAATAATAGCATCTCCTTCCTTCAATAATGAATGATTTAATAACCATGAGTAACAAGCTTCTGATGGTTTAATATTAAGTTTCTTGCAACGATCTTGAAAAGCTTCTAGTGCCGAGAAAAGGGTCTCGTTACAATAAAGACTTGTATAGTACTGGCCAGCCATAGTCGAAGTGTCAAATCGACCATTAGCTTGACTATTTTTGATTTGATCTGGTGTTTTAACCAAGAAACCTCCAGCAATTGGTGAATAAGCATAAAAATGTATTCCTAATTTTCTTAGTAGTGGAAATAATTCTTGTTCATTTTTTCGCGTAATCGGATTATAGTTTCCTTGATATACCGATGGAAGAACATAGTTCTTTTCTTTGCAGATATCGTACATTTGTTGAACTTCTTCTGCAGTAAAATTAGAAAGACCAAATCTTTTGAAACTTCCTCGTTGATAAAGATCATTAATCGCTTGAGCTGTTTCTTCGAAAGGAGTTTCTCGATCTGGTGCATGAATATAAAAGATATCAACAGAGGATCGTTTCATTGCCTTTAAACTGTCATCACATTGTTTAATGGTATTTTCTTTTGTTAATTTGCTTATCATAGGATTTGCTTTGGTGGAAACTGTAAATGCTTGGAATTCTGTTGTTTCACCGAGTAATTCTTCACTGGTTCCTTCTCCATATAATCTTGCTGTATCGAGCTCATCAATTCCATTTTCTTTGAGAATATTAAGAACTTGCGACACTTGTTCAGGTGTTTTAAATCTTTCTCCTTTTTTGTTAAAACTTCCGGTACCGAATGTTCTCTTGACTTTAGACATTGTTCGACGTAGAAGTTAAAGATATTGCGTCAAATTGTTATCTAGAAGGACATAAGAATCAGAAAGATGAGTGTGTGAGGGTGAAGATGAAAAGTACAATTGTCTCTGTAAAGAAAGAGTGGAGGGCAAGGCAAGGTTTCATTTATATTAGAAATTCAATTATACAGCTACACTTTACACCATCCTAACTATTACGACTCGAAACAGTATAGTAATTTTTGAAAAACTACGTTTCTAATGCGATCTGGTTTAAAATTGTCTCGGTGTCGATATGGACGATTTGAAGGCTGAAAAATCGGATATATTAATACTTAAGTGTGATTTAAACAACCTTGTTAGAAATAATTTTATACTTTACTATGAATTATATTAGTCTTGAAAACTTTTGTCTATTCTCAATCAATAAAGTATCGATCGTTTATAAGAAGAAAAATTTGAAAAAAAAACGGCCGCAAAGTATGAATACTTATTTATATCGTAGCTTATCTGTTCTAACCGAACAAAATAAAAGATATTGTGAGAGAAATAATTTGCACTGTCATATGACGATGAAGTAACCATACTCCCATATAATTATCAACGCTCCTTCTTACTCTCAACGATAATGAAAGATGGCGTATGCTGTCGGTGTATTCTTAATCATTTTATTTATTTTCATCAGGGATAAAACGAAATTTGATATTTGTTCAATCAATATTTGTTTACCAGATATTTCTCAGCTACAATTTCAAATTATGAAAATTCATAATTTTAGAGAAGACATCTGCCTATAAATATTAACATTTCTTCATCATCAACAAAATTCTTCAATGTTATCAAAGAATTTTAAAAAATTCTGCTGAAGACGATGGGACTTTCATGTTGCAAAGAGCTCTCATTCAATAAGATAAATTCATTCAATGAATCAGACTCAACTATTTAGGTACCGCTTTCACATCCCAGTACAAGATATAGCGAAGTATTGACATGGATATCTAATAGTAGGACGCGTGGACTTATTTTTCTTGCAGAATTTCAGATCAGCGTGGTCAATTCATTTCTTCTTCACGATCAAACTGCTAATCGAATTCGTGGAAATCTATACATGGCATATACAGAGAGGTTCGTTTTACAAAATGAAATGATACTATTCGTGTACTAAATTCGTCATCTTCACAAACACTTGTTCGCCTAAAAGATAAAACCAAACTTTGAAGAATTATTGGTTTTCTTTTTCATGACAGATGTCGTACAAAGATTGTAGCGATTGCCTTTAAACCATGATCAACGTAGTTCAATGAATCCTCCCAAATTAACTGAAAAGATTAGTTCAGATGAATAAGCTATTCCGAACAAAGATAGAAAAAATACATTTGTATTATTTTCCATCTTCTTAACAACAATAAAATTGATAGAATCACTCCTATACATTAACTTATTAATAATCCTTGTCAAGGACGTCTTTTAAACTAAGTTAATTGACGTTTTAAGAACAATCTGTCATTTTAATCATGAAAATTTTCAACTCTGACAAATTAATTATCTATTTTAATACTTTACGTACTTTTCTATACAAGCAATAAATTGTCTCTCCCCAAGCTTCATCTCAATATTTCATATAATTTGAAGTGTTTCAAAAATACGCTAAGAAAATTTTGCTGATACATCAAAGTCATTCGAAGAAATACTTTCTGTTAATTAATGTTCTTTTAAACTGCAATGGCATTGATAATTCTGCATTTTTTCTATTAAAATCTGGTCTTCTAATTGAATACATCTCTAACATTTATATAAATTAAACTGCTGACGTGCGAACAAGCAAAAAAAACAGAAAAATCATGTATATAACACAAATATAATCCTGCTTTATTAATATAAAGTTGTCATCTTATGAACAGGTTTTTGAGAACTTCATTTCTATATATGAGCAGATTTTATACTCTTCAATAATTACAACATATTCTATTATTATTAATAAAATCACAAATATTTCTTCAAATGACGTTTAATCAAACTGGTTTTATACTAAACATAATTACATTCAGTATTGATCTAACTACATATTTAAATTCATTGATTATCTTTATATGGATTATTTTTCATATTTACTTCAATCGTATAAAACAAGATGATAGAATAACTATTATGCATTGTATGGCTATTTATTTATTATTATTAATCTATACAGCAATTTTAATTTTATCAAATATTCAAACACTATTAGGAGATTTATATAGCTATGATTTTGATTCTTCGTGGTGTATATTTTTGGGATATTTTTCTCCCGTAGTTCTAACAACTTTATATTGGTGTTTTGTAAATCAAGTAACTTTCTCTAGCAATAGTTTCTTAAATTTTTTATTATATTTCTAGGCATTCTATCGTTTCTGTCGAGTTGTCTATTCACCTTATAGATGGCTTCAATATATGTGGGTATATATTATTATGGTTCCTATAGAATTTCTTTTGATCTGTATTCTTTTCTATCCAATTCTTTATTGGCATGATGTGGTTTATATACCAAATGAACATTATTGTTACGTACCATATACACATTTTCGTGGTATTCTTTGGCTTGCATTTAATTGTTATGGAATTCCTACAACATCATTATCATTGATTTATTTACGTATTACAATATATCTTCGTCGACAAACAAATAATCAAATACTTGCAATTAAACAACGACAAGATCGAGATTTACTTGTTATACGACGTATTCTAATAACTATTGGTTTATTATTAGCTCTTGGAATACCAGGTGTTGTTTTTCTAGTAATGTTACATATTACAGGTGAAGAATATCCACTTCTATTACGAATCGAATGGTTTTTTGTTAGTTTATCAATGATTGGATTAAGTATATCTACAGTTTTTTTTACATCACAATTAAAACAAATTATTTTTAAAAAATTCAAAAACAATCGAATAATAGTAATTCAAAATGAAGCCATCGCTCGTACAATTCCAATGAATGATATGTAATTTATCTAACCAATAAATCTATATTTATCGTCTAAAACTAAGTTTTATTATAAAGAAAAATCGCTTTTTGTTGTCAATTTAATTAGTAGAATAATATAGTTATACAGAAAAAATATTAATAATTATCAAACATCCATCGCAGATAGCTCTTTATAAAAATGCGATTTAGTCTTAAAAAATCAAAAATTACACTGTTTAATATCTTCAATTTTATGTTGAGAACCAATATGTTGACGAAAATCTTTCAAAGTATATTTAATAGCATTATCACAGCATTGTAATCTTACATCGACCTCAAAAGGATGTTTCGTATCCAAATGGGAGATCAATTCTTCCGACGTGAATATATGATGCCCACATTCGTAGAAAACACACATATTTTGCTTAATAGTTTTCAACATTATTAACAATGGATAAAGTTCTAAGTAAACTTTGGTAGGAACATTTGTAGCTAAACATGTAACTATCCCTTGATTGTTAATGACGTGATTTTATTTTTCTCTTCGGTGATGATGCCATTCGTTTAATTCATTAAAGTCTAATTTGCAAGTACACGTTATTTTAACTTTGTAATGATGTTTGTCCTGAATATGCTGATATAAGGATTCCATCGTCTGAAACGTTCTGGAGCACACGAGACACATTTTATTCGATTTATTAATTATTTCGACTATATATTTTCATCATTTTTATTCCAGAACAAATAACATTGAGAAATTGATGGTAGTTAAGAAAGAATTGTTTTGTCATCAAATAAACTTGCACGTCTAACACTGCAATCAAATAAGAGAAGTTGTGTGTAATCCGTTGACATGAAATTCCTGAATTGTTGAACGTTGTTCTTAAAAAAGAATAAAATAATAATAATAAAAATTATTCATCTTTGGAATTTTTTCTTGACCCACAAAGTGTTATTTAATTTCGAATTATTCTTTACTATAGCACGGACGTATCATCATGTTGTTTGGGGCATGTGAAAGAGAATCCTTACAAAGCTATATTTTGTTTTACTAGTGAAGAGAAAAATCTCTATTAAAATCTAGCTAATTAGCAGGAAAAGTCCTTTCTTATATCGTCCAAATATTTTATTCGAAGAATAATAAAGAAACACATAAAAAATATTCCATTTCTAATTGTCCAAGATTAAATTTTGATTACGAACAGCTTTTTCTTTCATCTAATAGTATTGCATTAGAACAAATAAAATAACGTTTAACAATATATCCTACCTTAAATACAAAAACAAAAAAATATGAGTAATTCGTTATATTAACGTCTTTGATGTCTATACGCAATACACACAACAAATACAGTCGTGATAAAAACGCTAAATAGACGATATTTCGAGAAAAAAAAGAATACATCCAAATAAAATACATAATAAAAATATTATCGATATTTGTTTTCGTCTTTCTTAATGTATATGCATATATATTTTTTTGTTGTTGATTAAGCGTACAGTAATCGATGTGAAGCCAATAGATGCATGTAGAAAGATAAATTTGATAATTATTAACAAACGGTAATAATCGAATCATAAAATGGTTAGTTTTTATTATATAAACACTCATATTTTTGGGCAAGGTAATTTTTCTTTTTCTTTTAGATTAAAACAAACATAATGGATATCAAATCAGAAATAGACATTGACTATGAACATATTGAATTAGATGACTATACTGATCCAATATCAAATGTATTAGATCCAGAAACAACGTCTGTTGTTGATTGTCATACATCAATAAACGATATCGAATCAGTTATATTGCATAATAACAAATCAGTATCACCGATCAAAATTGGCACAGCACTTGCTGTATTTACATGTATATCGATGGCTATTGGGATTCTGATTGTTTCTTTTACTTATTACAAACCGAGTAAATTCTATTTAATTTATTGAAAAAAAAACTTGTTGTTTTTGTTTTATTAGCTACGGTATGTCAACGTACTTTCAAAAGAACAGCACAAAGTGCAACAGGCCACAATTCTCGACCTTATTCGCTTGCTTTAGCTGATTTTAATAATGATAAGAAATTAGATGGTGTCGTAGCAAATTCTGGCGAAGATAATATAGGTATATTGCTTCAAATTACAAATGTGACTGCAATAAATCAAATAACATATTCAACTGGCTCTAACTCTCGTCCATATTCAGTTATTGTCAATAATTTTAATCAAGATAGTTTTCTTGATATTATTGTTGCTAATTTTGGTACAAATAATATTGGTATATTTCTTGGAGAACAAAATGGAACATTTGGTAATATAACAACATTCTCAACTGGAAATTCACGTCCATACTATCTCAATGCTGGAGATTTTAATAATGATAATAAAACGGATATTGTAGTTATTAATTATGGTACAAATAGTATTAGTATTTATTTTAGTAATGGCAATGGAACATTTTCAAATCAAACGACATATTTTATGGGTTATGATTCTATTACTTATTCAGTAGCTATTGCTGATCTTAATCATGATAAAATCTTAGATTTAGCTGTTGTCAATTATGGTACAAATAATATAGCTATTCTTTTTGGAGATGCTTCTGGATTATTTTCTCTACCCATAATATATACAACAAATTATGGATCACAACCAACATCAATAAGTATTGCTGATATTAATAATGATCATGAACTTGATTTAATTGTTAGTAATTATGGTACACATAGTATAGGAATATTTTATGGTTTTAGCAACGGAACATTTGATAAACAAAATTTATTTATTCTTGATGTTTTATCTCATCCACAATTTGTTACTACTGGTGATGTGAATAAAGATAACCAAACAGATATTATTATTTTGGATTCATCTTTAGGATATATTCAAGTACTTCCTGGATTTGGTAATGGATCATTTTCTAATTTAACTATATATATGACTGAAGAAGGAACTCAACCATATGCAGCAGCAATTGGTGATATTGATAATGATAATCAATCAGATATTGCTGTTGTTAACTATGGAGCAAATAATATTTTACTTCTTTTTGGATATTTTAGAACATATTCAGTTACTCAAACACAAATTTTGCTTGGACATGAATCAAATCCACCATCGGTTGCTACTGGTGATTTTAATTCTGACCATTACTTAGATGTAGTTGTTGTCAAGACTGGTACTGATGGGTTTGGAATACTATTGGGCTATGGAAATGGCAGTTTAGCATCAGAAATATCCTATTCAGTTCCTAGTGGATCCTCTCCATATTGTGTATGTGTTGGCGATTTTAATAATGATACACGACCTGATATAGCATTAGCTAATTATGGTAATGATAATATTGGTGTTTTTCTTAATCAAGGTAATGGAAGTTTTACAAATATGTTTGCATATCCAACTGGTGATCAAGCTTTTCCAATTTCTGTTGTCGTCGGAGATTTCAACAATGATCATATATTAGATATTGCTGCTGCTGATTTTGGTAATGATGATGTTGCTATTTTACTCGGGTACGGAAACGGAAGTTTTTCAAATGCACTAACTTATTCAACTGGATATGATTCTGATCCTGCTGCAATTACTGTTGATGATTTCAATCATGATAATATATTAGATCTTGTTGTTGCAAATTCTGAAACAAGTAACGTTGGTATTCTTTTTGGAATTGGTGATGGAAGTTTCCAAACAGTTATTGTTTATTCAACAGGATTTGAATCTCATCCAGATTCAATAATTACTGGTAATCTTAATAGTGATCAATGGTTAGATATTGTTATAGCTGATTCAAGTTCAGACAATGTTGCTATTCTATATGGATATGAAAATGGAACATTTGGAACACCAATATCATATACAGATATTACATTTTCGAATCCATCGGGATTAGCTCTTGGTGATGTTAATTATGATAATAATCTTGATATTATTATAACAAATTTTGGTACTGACAATGTTGGTATTCTCGCTGGTGATGGTAATGGTTCTTTTACTTTGGCTAGATCCTATCCACTTCTTGCTGGTGCTGGCCCTAAAGGAGTTCTTATAGCTAATTTTGATAATGATACTACTTGGGAGATTGTTATTGCTGAAGCAGGTATTGGTTCCGTAAATTTATTAGATAGATATATTGGTGCAGATTTTCAAAGTGAAATCATGTTTTCAACTGGTAGTGGTACACATCCAGATTCAGTCACTATTGGCGATGTTAATAATGATAATATATTGGATGTTATATCTGCTAATTCAGCAAGTGATAATATTGGTGTTTTTTTAGGATATGGTAATGGAACATTTGCATCTTCGAACACATTTTATGTTGGTCTAGATTCACATCCACAAGATGTTGTACTTGGTGATTTTAATCATGATAATCAAACTGATATTGCGACTGCTAATGGATACAATGATAGTATTAGTGTACTTCTTGGATTTGGTAATGGTAGTTTTAGCGAAGCAATTGTGTATCCAGTAAGGGAAGATTCGAAACCATATTCTATTGTTATTGCTGATTTAAATAATGATCAAAAATGGGATTTTGTTGTTGCTGATTATGGTCGAGATAATGTTGGTGTAATGCTTGGTTGTAATTGTGCTGCATTCAAAGATCAACAAATTTATTCCAATGAATTTAGTTTAAGACCATCTTCAATTACCACTGGTGATTTTAATAATGATACGTATTTAGATATTGCTGCTGCATTTGCTGCAAATGATAGTGTTGGTATTCTTTTTGGCTCTGGTAATGGAACATTCCAACAATTAGTTATGTATTCAGTTGGTTATAATTCATATCCATATGAAATTGTTAGAAAAGATGTTAATCATGACAATCACTTAGATCTTATCGTAGCAAATTCTGGTTCAAGTACTCTAGGTATTTTACTAAATTATGGTGATGGAATATTTACTCCTGTAATGTTATTTTCTACTGGAAACAATTCAGAACCATATGGTGCTGCTATAGGTGATTTTAATAATGATACACATATAGATGTTGTCGTTGCAAATTATCGTAGTAATAGTATAGGAGTTTTATTAGGATATGGAAATGGATCGTATGGAGATGTAATGATATATTCGACAACTGATGATTCACGTCCACAATCTGTTGCTGTTGGTGATTTTAATCAAGATAATCAATTAGATATTGTAGTTGCAAATTATCGAAAGGATAATGTGGGTATTTTTATTGCAAATGGCAATGGAAGTTTTCAAAATCAAGTTGTTTATTCAACTGGTTATCTTTCAATGCCTACGTTTATTATTGTCGATGATTTTAATAGTGATAATATATTAGATGTTGCTGTTTGTAATAAAAATAGAGATAATATTGGTATTCTTTATGGATATGGGAATGCAACATTTGCATCAACGGCATTATATCCAACAGGAGATGGAACTAGTCCTCAAGCCATTCGATCTGGTGATTTTAATAATGATGCAGCAATAGATATTGCTATTGTTAGTCCTGGAAATAATTATGTATTGGTACTTTATGGATTAGGTGATGGACGATTTTTATTAGGACCATCTTATTCAACTGGAACAAAATCTGGACCTATATCTTTAGCTGTAGGAGATTTTGATGGAAATGCTCGACTTGATATTACTACTGCAAATTATTTAATGGATAATATTGGTGTACATATAAGTTATGGTAATGAAATTTTTGGAAGTGAATCAACATTTTCTACTGGTACTGATTCGTCTCCAATTTCAGTAGCTGTGAGTGATTTCAATAATGATGGGCAAACCGATGTAGTTGTCGCTAATTACGGTACAAATAACATCGGTATTCTAATGGGTTTTGGTAATGGTTCATTGGCAAAAATAGTAACATATTCAACAGGAGATGGTTCTGGTCCCGTTGCTGTTGCTGTTGGTGATTTAAATCAAGATAATAAATCGGATATTGTTGTTGCTAATTCTCAATCAGACAATATATATCTTTTTTTTGGACTTGGTAACGGTACGTTTTCTCCTGTTACATTCTATTCAACTGGTTTAGGATCTGGTCCATACGCAATTACAGTTGCTGATCTTGACAATGATCAAATATTTGATATTATCGTTATAGCTGCTAAGATTAATAGCGTATTAGTATTACAAGGATATGGAAATGGAACATTTGGAAATCAGACTTCATATGTAATGGGTTATAATTATGATCCGTATGCAGTGGCTATTGGAGATTTCAATGGTGATCATTGGTTAGATATAGCTATTGCGAATTATGGTGGAGATTACATAGAAATTCTCTTGAAAACATGTTGATATAATTATTTTTTTGCTTTTATTTTCATTTTCATTATAAATTTATTAAATAAACGATAACTTTTATTTGTTTTTCTGATTATTAATCGAGATTCTTCTAGTATGTCTATTCTATTGGTCATAAGATACTTTCATTTCACAATTGTTTTTTCTTACTTGAAATCTTTCTATTTACTTAACAAATAATGAGACAATAGATAAGAAAACAAAGTCTATTTGATATAAAGATTTTAAGTTTAATCGTTTGAATGTAGGTGACCATTATTCAAGAGGAATTCTTTAACCTCGTGTAACACGAAGTTTTGTTTATTCATATGTAAGATCACAAGTTCGGACATGGAAAGAATAATACAAAAAGTGAAGAACGAAATAAAACATTGATGGAATAGACAACTGTAAATGTATACCACCAAATAATAAAATATTATAGAGAAATCTTATGAAACAGATGAATTGATTCAGTTTATTTCACTATTTAATAAGATCTAGCAGATAAATATGATCTAAATTCAAACAATATTTATCACTTGAAGATATTGCGGTCAATTATGATAACTATCCCATTTGTTACAGTTGATGATCAGTAAATGGACTGACACGAGTAAGTCGTACAAGTTTTTCATGATTTTCGATTGGTCGTTCTGTCTTGGTAAAGAATCGTCGGTGGATAAGTTTCAGAAGAGGAACAATTAACAATTTAGTCACAAGAAAAAATAGGCCAAACAGATCCAGAAGCACAACTAAAACACGCAAAGAATAGACAACTACAAATACAAAAGATACTTACTTGTAAAGAGAAATGTATGTAATACAATTTCAGTATGTCGAGCGATAGGTTCTTGTGTATTCATCATAAAAAATTCTGATTCACTCATGTCAACTATCAAAGTAACACGATCAGATAAATACCGTATATATTCGCCATATTCATTAAATAGAAGTGTGTCAGCAAATGAATTTATTGTTAACGTTGGGATCCATATACCACTAAAAATCGTATCAATATCTGTTGTATAACCGACTGTTCGATTGACAACTTTTGTCATTTTAATATTAATAGTTGGATTTATTGATAATGTTTCATTATCTGCATAGAAAAATTGACAGAAATCAAGTTCTTGTAATGTATATTTGTCATCATCATCGATCGTTCGAGATGTATCCGAGAGACATATACGAAGTCCACCAACAAAATAAGGTCCAATCAAATCAAACTGCATCGTAATCAGATGTTGTGGTAATAATGTTGAAACAGAAAGAATATTAATTTCACTGTCATAGGAACAATTGAAATTGTTTAATGAGATTTTCTTTCCTCGATTTAAATTCTCTTGCATCATTAAATGATCACAATTGAAACTGGTTCCAACGAAATGAACCGTAAGAATAATATTTTGTTCGTCGAGCATAGTAAATATAGGCTTCTCTTCATCGTGTTGACCAATAGTGAGAAGTTGCAGACCACTAGTAAACTTAGTATTTGATATTAGTGGCTCACATGTCGATGTTTCTTCAATATTCGATGATATTGTTTCAATCGGATAGAGTTGTGTGAATGAAACAATAAATTTGCAAGTGAATACTAACAGTACAATAATGGCAAATGTTATTAAACCTCCAAACCATACTTCACCTTCACCTACCAGATCTATATGTTGTAAACATTTCTTGAACAATGTTCGATGGGGTTTAAGCTGTGGAAAACAAACGAGAATAGTCATTACAAGAAAAATTATTAATCCCACGCCGATTGCGAGACACGTCCAAAAAAGTGGCGAAATAAGTAAACAATGGGATGGTGTCGCCGTTAGACTAAAAAGATATTCCAAGAGTATATCATCGAATTCAACTAACTCTGGCGAATTTGGATAAGGAATAGCTTGATCATATGTTGAAACGTTGTCCATAGGAATTTCAGGTAATGAACCACGTAAACATAATGAAGAATCATTTGAAATACATGGTTCACATTCAATTCCTAACGTACCATTATTTTTTGTATTTGACGGACAAAGAAAACAAGGACCAATACTAATTGTATTACGTGCAGTACCTGGAATACATGGCACAGAACTGTAAACTGCCATATTGGATATATCATCGTCAAGTTGAGCGGAGTAGTAACCGGGTAGACTACTTGAAAGGAGCAGAGCAACGCCAACATCAAATACTAAACCCAAATGCGATTTCCAAGATACAACAGTTAAAATACTATGTGGAGGTGGTTGAGAATTCAATGAAGGAATAATCTGTTGATTGTTCGGATAGATAATTAATGGTTGTTGATTTAGTTCATCATCAGAGATCGAATATACCTAAAAAATCATAGAAGTTATCTTTCACAAAATATCTTCACACGTCATAACTGACCTGCACTTGTGATGTAGACCATGGTAGAGTGGGTAAAGCGTGAGCAAGTATAACAAATGTATTGTTATCGAGTAAAGCAACAGACTTGCCGAATAAGATATCTTTGTGTGATGAGATATGTTTTTGTAAGATGATCGGTGCTTCATTTGCATCGGAACGTTTCCAAGATAAGAGGAGAATCATATTCAAATAAGGAATACCAATAATGAACCAATTAACATCATCCAAAACAGCAATAGACATAATTGAATTGCGAGTGATATCGATTGCAGTAGGACCAAAATTAAATTTAGCTAATTCCGTACTTGAAGACAGAGTAACACTATCTGTTGACAGAAAATTCAGCACAAATAAATAAGGAGAAAATTGTGAATTAGTAAATCTTTGACCAACGATGAAAATAATTTGATCTTCAGTAATAGCTAAAGCTTTTGGAAAGAAGTAAATCTCAAAACTATTTTCATTTCCATATAATTGCTTAGTATCGAGTTGCCATTTAGTACCTGTTCCAATTTCATAGCATACAATGTAATATATACCAACTGCATAAGCGCGTTTTCCGTATGGATCTATACCAACAATAGCATGTTCTTGCATTTGAAGATCAGTTATATTGATTGCTACTTGACTGACAACTTGAACACAACCTTCACTTGTCGGTTCGAGAAAGATAATTGTTAAAAAAACGTCTCGTCGCCAATTTTCATTAATATAAGAAAAAAACAATTGACTTTCATTTTGTTTTGCTCCAATGACTACACTGTAAACAAATCGAATCAACGATGTTTGATTTTGTGCTATTACATTGTAGGGTAAACTGCATTTTTCTGATCGATTTGAAAATGGATATGTAATTATTGTGAATTGTTCTTGATCATTTTGAGCTAATATACTTAAATATTCATTCATAGCTAGAAGTGATCCGTATGCATCGTATTCATTCAAATTGATCGGTGGAAGTAAAAATTGACCGTCAACATATCCATTGAAGACAAGCAATGGAAAAAGAATAATACAATATAATAGCTTCATTGTCCTCTTATTTGATGGTTGCTAAATAAGTACATCATAATAATGAAAATTTCTTCATTTTCAACGTGATATGTTATAAAAAAATGTGTATATGTTGATATATACAAAACGAATTTTATGACAGACATACACAATTCTTTCTTATGTGCATAAGATTATATATATGATCCTATTAGTATTGTCAAATATTGATCCACTATTTCATCACAAAGCTTAACTCTATTGACAGTTCGTTTTTTTTTCATTCCTTCTTTCAATAACAGTGATTAGATGCATTTAAATCATTGCTTGGTGTTTGTTAACGTTTTGTTTTCAAGCATCAACAAGAGAGCTTACGTAAAATGCTTATATAT